CATCGTCATAGCTCACAGCAACCTCAAACTCCTAGGCTCAAGTGATCCCCCTGCCTCAGCCTCCCACATAGCTGGGACTACAGGCACATGCCCTGATGCCTGCCTAATCTTTCTATTTTTAGTAGAGACAGGGTCTCGAACTCCTGGCCTCAAGCAATTCTCCTGCCTCAGCCTCCCAGACTGCTAGAATTACAAGAGTATTTTTTAAATCATGTTAAGTAATATAATAACTTGTATTGTGGCATTTGATCAAAGTGTTTTTCAGGAACCAGTTAAGGCCTAAGTTTAGCCATTATACAAGTGTGAAATCTAAGCGATTAATGAACTGTTTGGGTAGGAGGCAGTGGTGTATGAAAATGGAAATATCTAGACTATGGGTCAATCGACTTGTCTTTCTTCATAAATACTGTTTTCCATAATGAACACAATAGCATCAGGAGACTTAGATGCCAAATCCCAGCTTTATTACCTATTAGTAAGTTTTTAATGTTAAACTCTAAGCAACAGTTTCATTCTCTGTCAAATAAGGATAACAAATCCTTTCTTGCCTACTACATAGAACAGGAAAAACAAATAACATACATTTAAGCAATTCTAACACTGTAAATCTTACCCAAAAGTTAAGGTTACATTATTACCTCTTTATATATTTTACATAACTATAGGCAACTATATATTTATTATAACTTACACACAATTTAAGGCAGATTGGCTTATTCTCAAGAAACAAGAAGGGAAATCAATAAAAGCACAGAGGCTGGAACAGAAATATTACACTAATCAAAATTAAATTGGCAGAACAAAAAGAATGCAGGAAATACTTTTGTTTTCTATCTAAGTCACCAATCTCATGACAATTCACTTTCACCAGATTTTTAGCCCTCATAATTGTCTGAAATCAGATGCAGTGGCACTGAATGTGTGCACCAATAAACGCCTTATCACAGTGTGTCTTTGGCGTGTGTGTAACACTACTCACACCTGACATACATCCTTTGCCTGTCACTTCTGATCTCTCTTTTGCTCTCTTGTCCCTTAGGGAACTATTTCCTCCCTCTGTTTATAGGTCTAAACATCACAAGTATTATTATACACAAAAATCAGTGAGTCATGAAACTACAGAAGTAAGCCAAAAGCTAAGACTCTGGGGATAAAATAAATAAGAAATTGGTACATTTTTTCTGCATTAGGCAAGAAAGAAAAGGGTTTCAGTCACGAAGTGACTGAATATTGTCACCCTGAGAGCATTGAAAAAAATGAAACATTTATGGTAATAATAGTTTTCAACCACTAGCCAAGGGAATCAGTTCACCTAGAGTGTAAGTCCTTGGTGGATGAATACTAAAAGTTTTTGTTCTGCTTAAGCACCTAATATAGTAGCAGGCAAGTAGAGGAAATAAGAAGAGCTTTTTATCGATTTGGAAGCCACTTTCATTTTTCTATTGAAGTGATTACTGAGATGGTTCTTAATTTCTCTGAAATAAAGTAATAAAGAATTACTTAATATTATTCAGGCAAATAAAATTAACCAGAATGGATATTTATGGTTTAATCAACCATTTCTCCATTTTTGTTCAAACTACTATTTTAAAATTTTGATTGAACAAGAAAAAAAAAA